AGGAAGCTCAGCTTGGAGACACAGCCCAGAGGAGGAGATGATCCTAAAAGGAGGTTCTAGTCCCAACTTGATTCTCCTGATCCAACATTAATATTCACACAACAATCACTTAACATTATAATCCAGAATATTCATATTTTAAATATGTTTAAACCGGGGAAAATTGGGGAGAGGGAGGTCTGGGCCTCCCTTCTGAAGCTGCTGCCCCCGCGACCCGACCCCGGATAGGCGGAAGAAAATGGATGGATGGATGGATGGATGGATGGATGGATGGATGGATATCTATTTATATGATAATATATAACAAAAGGCAAAGAAACTGTATTAAATTTAAAATGTTAAACAGTATGTTTGTGTTTTTGTGACTCAGTACGTGTTATTTTTCACAGGGTTGGAATACAAGTTCCTGGTGAAGTCTGTGGATCCAGATGCAACAGATATGATAACTGAGAGGAAAAACAAGTTGGAGGAAGTGGCGTTCTCTGTCACCAGTAATCTTCATAAGGAGAAACGCAAAGCAAGAAGACACAGAGACAGCTTGGGAATCATAAGTCCTTCTGTGAATCTCGCAGAAGAAAAGAAGTTTCCAAACTCTACTGGTGAGGACRAAACGATGCAATGAAATGAGCGTTAGCAGCTTTGCAGCTCCAGGACAAACACAGAGCGTGACCAAGTGTGAGGCGACATAAGCACATCGCTCAAACTCATGTGGAGCAGCGTGGTGTTGGCAGGACAGTCCAGTTTGGGGTTTAGTTGTGTGAGATGATCATCAGGTGAAAGGTCGAAGCAACAGCTCTCATTTCTCAGAGTTCATCTTTACAAATACTCAAAAGAAGCAAAAGAAATAAAAAAAGCTAAATCTGAGTTATAACCTTCGAGCTTAAATGAGCTTAAAGTTAAATATTCATCAACATATCAAGCTTATTAGTGGATGTAGCTGCAGGCAGAAATCATTTTCTGAATCTGAAGCTGTTTGTAATTCTTGCTTTGGGAAAATAAACCAGACGACTAATCAAAGCCAGAGGCTGACATTGCTCAGTGTCAGTGTCAGCCTGTAGAACTCTGACACCCAGCTGTCGTAAGGTTTCACTCATTCACTACAAAGACTAACGTTTACACTTAAATTTGTGGAAATCCAAATAATAAAAAAGTGTTTTTTTTAAAGAGATCTTTGGTTTTACAACGCAAAAAGTGTCATGGCCAGGTGAATTATTCTGACTGGAACATCCCCTGCTTCGTTTTTCATACGGTTGCATTTCAAATGTTCACCTCAAGGCAAAGACACAGCGCTGAGATTCACACGCTTCATCTGTGTAGCTGCAGAAAATCAAAGGTTTTAAATCCTCCATGAAAACTAAAAACAGTGGAATGACTTTGGCTGAGGCAAAGACTTTTCCTTCATTAGTAAAATCTGACTTTCATGCTTTATTTATGTTTCATTTTAAGATAGCAGGACCTGTTTTTTTAGGCTTCTTTTTGTTCTGAGTCACGTTTCATGTCTAATATTCCTGTTTGTGTGGCAGTTTTAGGTGTTTAACCAGTTCTTATTTTAAGATGTATTTTCTGTAAGGATACATTTTACACATAAATCATCTACACAGTATGAATTTTACCTAAAAGTTTTTTTTAAACTTTACACTCTGATTATAATGGTAGTCTAGTTTTGTTATGTTTAGGTAAAACTGTGTGACAGATTGCTGTTATATTTGTCACTCTTCACCTGCTAAAGTTGGGTGTGTTTGTAGCTGAGAGGCATTAACAACACTGCAAGTGCCACTCATTGCTCGAGATGTTTTCTGAAACATTTGCATTAACTGTTGGAGCCAAAGACATTTCACTGCCAGCATTTATTACGTGTACTGGTCCAGTGAGAGAGGATATTTTTTTTTATTTGACAGATGAGTCCAAAAGAAAGTACAAGTTGTGATGGACTATATTTCTGTCTTTAGAGTCTCAGGGGGGCGGGCCTGTGGCGTGGACTGAGAGGAGGAGAAGAAGAGGATTTGGAACAAAGGATGCTGGTGAGTGGCCAACAGATTTTCTTCTTTCTCTTATTTCCCTCGACTCTTTTTCCTTTAATTTTTTTAAACATCGTTCATAAGTAATGAGTGGAAATAATTAGGAGCAAGTCCAACATTTGTTTTAAATATCAGGGTTTATAAGAATGTTAGCATTACCAGTTTTATAAGCTTTAATTGTTTAAGTCCCTGACGTGTAATTCTAGTGGCAGGACACTGTTTGGAGCTGATGTCTGAGGGGTCCTGCTCAGACTACATCCTGTGCTGGTACTTCCACGTGCCGTCGGGGAAATGCAGGCCGTTTGTGTACGGGGGCTGCGGCGGCAACCAAAACCGCTTCAGTTCCAAACAGGAGTGCCAGAGTGCCTGCGTGATGGAGAGCAGGGCTGCAGGAACGCCTGCAGGTCACACAGGGGATGCTCCGCCCGCCAGCTGATGCGGAGGCGGGACTTTTTAGTTGTGAAAATAAGACCGAAACCTCCTGCAGAACTGTTCTTTCATAGTTAGCAAACATTAAAAATGAAGCTTAAAATCAGAAAACATGATGCTGTATTATGTACATAACTTAGTTTAATATTAGTTCTGCGTTTTGCATTGCTTTTATTTATGAGAACATGTTTTTTTTAACTGTAAAACTGTGGTTTGATTCATTAGAGTTACTGAAACATTTATAGTTATGAGGAAAAGGAAAGTCTGATTCTTTCACAATGAGACTTTCATGATCGACTTCTAAAATTATTTATATCTAACGCAGGGRTCTGCACACTTCAATCAAAAAAGAAATATCTGCTCACTAATAAATGTGACACAAAACCTGCTAAAACTTTAATTATCAACTTCAAGTTTGTTGAAGGTGGGGGG